TTCAGCAACGTCAAATCCCTTCAGCACCTTTGCCGCTTTCGGATCCGGCAGCTGGTCCGGATCGACCACATTCCCGAGCTCCCGCTGCCCAAGTGAGTCCCAGGGGTGGGTCCCTTTCATTCCCGACCTCCCACTGCCCCAGTGAATCCCAGGGATGGATCCCTTTGATTCCCAAGCTCCCACTGCCCAGGGATGGATCCCTTTGATTCCTGAGCTCCTGCTGCCCAGGGATGGGTCCCTTTGATTCCCGAGCTCCCATTGCCCCAGTGAATCCCAGGGATGAATTCCTTTGATTCCCGAGCTCCTGCTGCCCAGGGATGAATCCCTTTGATTCCTGAGCTCCCATTGCCCAAATGAGTCCCAGGGATGGATCCCTTTGATTCCTGAGCTCCCACTGCCCAAATGAGTCCCAGGGATGGATCCCTTTCATTCCTGCCCTCCCAGGCCCTGGGAAGGGTCTGTATTCCCAGCGAGGGCCCGGGCAGGGAATGATTGACTTCCCCCCAGCCTTGGGGACAGCGGGATGAGCGTCCTGTGGGATGGGGGGGGGGATGCACGTGGGAATTCCGAGCTCGGGAGCGAGGTGTTCCCTTTCCCAGCCCGGTGACGGAGCCGGGTGGGCTCTGGGGAGGTCGGAGCGGCGGTGGCGGCTCAGGGATTGAAGCTCTTCCCGCTCCTTTTCCAGGCCCCTGATCTCCTACATCCGCAAGTTCTACTACTACGACCCCCAGGAGGAGGTTTACCTGTCCCTGAAGGAGGCCCAGCTCATCTCCAGACAGACCCAGGAGCCGGAATCCTCCACGTAGCGGAGCCGCCTCGCCCGTGCTCCCGGCACTGATGGTACGGGAATGCTGCTGGATGCAGCCAGCCCTGGGATTTCAGACCCACAGAACCCTCCTGGGGCAGTCCTGGCTCTTCACTCCGGGGTCTTTCGCCGTTCCCAAGCTTTCCCTGGTGAGGGAAGCAAGGCTTCATCGTGGTCTCTTGCCATTCCCAGTTTTCCTTGGAGAGGGGAACAAGCCTTCCTGGCTTTTTACCCTTGGGAAAGAGACCAAGGCTTCGTGGTCTCCTGCAATTCCCAGCTTTCCCTGGGGAGGGGAACAAGGTTTCACAGTCTTTTACCATTCCAGGTTTTCCTTGGGAAGGGCAACAAGGCTTCATGGTCTTCTACCATTCCCAAGCTTTCTCTGGAAAGGGAAACAAGGCTTCCTGGTTTTCTACAGTACCCAGGCTTTCCTTGGGAAGGGGAACAAGGCTTCCTGGCCTTTTACCCTTGGGAAAGAGAACAAGGCTTCATAGTCCTTTACCATTCCCAGCTTTCTTTGGGAAAGGAAACAAGGCTTCATAATCTTTTACAATTCCCAAGCTTTCCTTGGAAAGGGGAACAAGGCTTTATAATCTTTTACAACTCCCAAGCTTTCCTTGGAAAGAGCAGCAAAGTTTCATGGTCTTTTACCCTTGAGGAGGAGAACAAAGCTTCGTGTTCTTCCACCATTCCCAAGCTTTCCTTGGAAAGGGGAACAAGGCTTCATGTTTTTTTTACCATTCCCAGCTTTCCTTGGGAAGGGGCACAAGGTTTCAGGGTCTCTTATCATTCCAGGCTTTCCTTGGGAAGGGGCACAAGGTTTCAGGGTCTCTTACCATTCCAGGCTTTCCCTGGGAAGGGGAACCAGCCTCCAGGTTGTTCCCCCCCCAGCCTGTGCTGATCCCTCTCCCCTCTCTTTCCCACCAGGAATTTGGTTGTTGCCATCCCGCAGCCCGAGCCAGGCCGTGGTGGGAAGGAGCCCCCCACACTCCCCTGCTGCTGCTCCTGCTCTTCAGCCCTTTTGTACAGAGAAGAGGGGGCCAAGATTCCCGAGGAGCCCAGCAGAGCAGGAATCCAGAGCCTTGGCTCCTGGGAAAAGGCGTCTCGGAGGCGGCCGAGCCTCCCGGCAGGACAAGGAATGTCACGGCACTATTTACAAAGTTTGGGGAAAGTTTTATTTTTTTTTTTTTTTTTTCAGTTTTTTGTTTTCAAAAAGCATGAGAAAGTGACCGCGTGGGGACGACCCTGCCTTGGAAAACTGGGAGGTGGGGAAGGAGGTGGAGGGAGGAGGGGACACTCTCTGGGAAGATCCGTCCCTTGATCCCCACGGAGAGGGGAGGATGCAGCTTGGGGAGCTGCTGGAGGCAAACTGAGCCAGGAGGATCGGCAGCTCCGTGGAATAACCTCTGGGAATAACCTTGGGGCTCCCCAGGATCCGGGAGGAGGGAGCCAAACCCAGCCTTGGGAAGCTGAGCTTTGCAGCTGGATTTGCAGGATGGTCCCACGGGACGTTGGACCCGGGGAAGGAGGAGTGTTTGAGCCGTTGGAATGTCCTGGATCCCGAGGGGATGGTTGGTGCTGCTCCTCTGAGGAAGGGCCATTCCCTGAGAAAACACTGGAAGGTCCCCCCTGAGCCCCCCGGGAAGTGGAAGGAAGGTGGAGAAGCTGGAACTGTCGGAGCTGCCTGTGGAGCAAAGGTACTTCCTGCAGAGCCATGGGATGTGCACTTCCAGCCCCTCTCTGGCTGATTCCAGAAGCTGGGAATGAAGTGGCTTCCTTTGGAGCTGCGAAGGATCCTGAGGAGGAGCTGCTGGGGGTGACTGGGAGCAAGGAGCAGCTCCCTGAGGGTTCTCTGGGACAGCATCTGCCCTCTGGGAGCTCCTTCCCTCCCTGGGACATCCATGGATCCACAGCAAAGCTGGGAGAGGTGGTGGCTCTTGCACAAATAACACCCCCCCCCCTTCAAATCCTGGTCTGCTGCTTCATCCCCTGCAGCCACTGAGCAGGAACTTCGTGGATGTTGGAGCTCCGAGCGATGCTGGGAATTCTGGAGAAGCCTCTTCATCCCTGTACTTAAAGGAGCGAGTTCCTGCACTCTAAATTCAAGGGATTGCTCCATCCTGTGGGGCCTGTGGATCAGGATGGGTGCCCTGTGAGTGCCCTGTGAGCTGCCAGGACCTTGGGCTCTCCCTGCAGGACGATCCCTGTCCTTGAATTCCACGAGGCCACGTTGGATTTTAAGGCAGCCCGGAAAAATCCCGCCGGCCCCCAAAGGTGCTACAGATCCTGCCCTCCCTGTCCTGCCCGTCCCCTCCTGGATCCTGGGAGGGCTCACGTGCTCTGGAAAGAAAGGATTTGGCTTCCAGATCCACAGAAATACCTCATGGGACGCTGCTCCATCCCGGCTGTGGGAGGGGAAGAGCTTCCCAAGAGCCAGGCTTGGGAATGGAGGGTCCAGCTCCATGGCCAGGCTTCTCCCCAGGAAGAGACCCCTGGGAGCAGGATCCGTGGCATGGCTGGGGTGTGTGGACCAGGGAGGGATGGTGGGATGCAGGGAACAGGGAAGCTGGAGAAGCTCCCGCTCCCCCCAGTGTGTCAGTGACAACATTCCCACTCCTTCCTTCCCTGTCCCGGGATGGAGAGGTGCAGGCTGGGTTTGGGAAGGGGGAAGGAGCCGACCTGGAGGGCAGAGCAGGGAAGGGTGGTGCTGGGTGGGCACTGGGAGGGGGTGCTGGGCTTGTTCTGGGGTGAAAACGCACAACCCTGGTGGGTCAGGAGAGATTTCCTGCAGTGCCCCATCCTGCATCCCACTCCATCCTGCATCCCACCCCATCCCTGCATCCCACCCCATCCTGCATCCCACCCCATCCCTGCATCCCACCCCATCCCTGCATCCCACCCCATCCCTGCATCCCACCCCATCCCACCCCATCCCCCTGTCCCACCCCATCCCTGCATCCCACCCCATCCCACCCCCTCCCCCACATCCCCCCCATCCCCACATCCCCACCCCATCCCCGCATCCCACCCACCCTTGCATCCCACCCCATCCCTGCATCCCACCCCATCCCTGCATCCCCCCCCATCCCCACCCCATCCCCCTGTCCCACCCTCCCTGCATCCCCCCCCAATCCCTGCATCCCACCCCCACTCAACCCCACTCCCCACATCCCTGTGTCCCAACCCCTTCCTGCATCCCACCCCCTCCTGCATCCCACCCCCTCCCTGCATCCCACCCCATCCCCACATCCCAAAAAACCCCATCCCACCCCATCGCCACATCCACCCCATCCCTGTCCCACCCCATCCCCTGTCCCACCCCATCCCTGCATCCCACCCCATCCCCCTGTCCCACCCCATCCCACCCCATCCCCACATCCCACCCCATCCCTGTGTCCCCCCAGAGCTCCTCCTGAGGGAGCACGAGGTGGTTCCACACCTTCCAGAGCCGTTGGAGCAGCCGGACTTGGGGGACAATACTTGAATTCCGTGTTTTCTGGTCGGCTGTTGATGTCCCTGTGGGATTTATCCCAACAGCCTGATGGTGCTCCTGCTGTTACTTGAACCCTGAGCGTGGTGGGGCAGGGGGGCAGCTCTTCCCAAATTTGGGCCAGCGGGAAGGTTTTGGGTCTGAAATGACGGAGGAGACGTGCTGGGAGGTGTTGGATAGGGGATGGCGAGGGGTGGGATAGGGATGAGACCCTTCCCAAGGATCCGTGGAGGTGGCAGATGCTCCTCAGCATTCCCAGGGCTCTGCTCCACCTCTCCTTGCTCCGAGCCAGGCAGGAAAGCTGGAGCAGGTCAGTGCCAGCCCCAGCCCGTGGCTGGTGGTGCTGGCTGAGATCCCAAGGTTAACTGTAGTTAACAGCCTTCTCCTGAAATCCATGGAAAACAAAGCTGCTCCTGCACAGGGAGGTGTGAGGGGAGCGAGGGATTTGATCCATGTGGGGCTGGGAATGAGCCAGAGGGTTTGATCTGGGGCTGGAAGCGAGGGGGGGGCTCTGTGGGAACATCTCCAAGGGGTGCCTGGGCCCTGCCTTCCCATCAATCCCAGTTTGGGGAACGGACCCCTGGGGCTGTGTTATCCTGCCTGGAATGTTCTGGAGGCTGCTCCCATCCTGCTGATCCGGGGAAAAAACATTTTATCACCACCCTTTATCCAACCTTGAATTGTGCAGAGGTGGTGCTTGTCCTGCTCCCGGAGCCGGGAAATGGACCATAAAACCCACTGGAGCGCAGGAATTGTCCATGGAAAAGCTCCTTTCTGTGCTTTTCCAGCTGGGTGGGGGCAGCCCTCAGCCCTGTGCTCAGCTTGGCAGCTTCCCCCTCTTCTCCCAACACCCTATTTCAAGGTGGGGAATGACCTTCCTCCCTCCAGCAGCGAGAAAATTGGGATAAACCAGGGAAGTTTTCTCACGTGGAAGTTTCCAGCTCAGCTTCCACCTCCTTGGGGCCAAAAAAAACAGAGAAAAGGGTGGAAAAATTCATCCTTGGCTTGAGTTGGGTTGGGGTTTGTAGCTGGATTTGCAGGATTGGTCCTGTATGGGAACCACCTGGGCTGCTCCTGCGGTTGGGAATGGATGGATTTGGAAGCTCCAGGTGTGGTGTTGCCAGATTTTAATCCCTAAAAGCGTTTTTTTAAACCCCTGAAAGTGGTTTTAGCAGCGACCCTGTGAGGCTGTGCCGCAGGTGGTGGTTGGGGGGCTCAAATCCCAGGAGTGTTTTGGGGAGAAAAACCTCTGAAAAGTAGGATTTGCTGAGGGAAGGGAGAGAACCGGCCCTTTTCCTTCATTCCTTGCAGTTAAAAATCTGTCCTTGGGATGGTTTTACCCTTCAAATCGACCATCAGGGCTGAGGGTTTGGGGGGGGCACCTGGATACCTTCCCAATCCCCTTGGCTTTTGGGAACTGAGGGATTTATCCACCTTCCAGACCTCTTTAGCTTTGGGAATGCAGGGATTTATCCACCTTCCAGACCTCTTTAGCTTTGGGAATGCAGGGATTTATCCACCTTCCAGACCTCTTTAGCTTTGGGAATGCAGGGATTTATGCACTTTTCCAGTCTCAATCCCCTTGGCTTTTGGGGATATAAGGGATTTATCCACCTTCCAAATCCCCCTTGCTTTTGGGAACGGAGAGGTTTATCCACCTCTCCAAACCCTCCTTGGCTCTCGGGGACAGAGGGATTTATCCACTTTTCCAACCCCCTTTACCCTGGGAACGGAGGGATTTATCCACATGCTCCGAGCAGGCCCCTCACTCCTCAGCCAGAGTCCTCCAGGTGAGGTGGGGCGGGTGGGAACCCCCTTCCCAAACATCCCTTGGGATCAGGGGGGGTCCTGGCAGCGCTGCCTCCAACTGTGCCTCCAGCTGAACAAGCACAACTGGTGCCCAGTAACACACTGGGGAGCTCCCAGTGCCCCCCTGGGATGCTCCCAGTGCTCCCCCCACCCCACCCAGGGCTTCAATCCCCCCCAAAAAAATAGGAGTTACACTGGATCCAGCCTTGCCTTTAGAGAGGGAATGAGCAGATTTTGGCAGCTCCAAGGGCAGGACCTCGCCAGAGCTGTGGAACCACCTTTGGGCAGAACAACAACAACAAAAAAATGCAGCTTTGCTTAATTTTATCTTTATTTTCCCCCCCCTCCCTCGTTTTTAATTTTTTTTTTTTTTTTTTTTTTGTGGTGCTTATTAATTTATTAAAATAGTTGCTGTATAATTTATTTTCGTAAACTATCTTAAAAAGTTTCTCAACTGTTTAAAAAAAAAAACAAAACAAAACAAAACACTGAAAACCCCACACCCCCCCCCTCCCCTCCCCCCCACCCAAACCCCCCCCCCCCCCCCCCCCCCCAACAAAAACCAAACAGACTTGCAGGCCAATCTTTCAGATAAAAAAGAAAACAAACAAAAAAGGAAGAAAAAAAAAAAAGGAAAAAAAAAAAGAAAAAGAAAAATGACGTTTTTTGATATAAACCACAAATGCACTTTTGGGTGTGTTTGGTTATTTTTGGGGGTGGGGAGGGGGAGCCTGGCTGTACCTGTGGGTTTGTCTGTATATATTGTATTAATAGGCATGTTTGGCCTCTCGTGGGGGACGGCAGTAACTGCTGCAGGTGCTGGGGGAGGGAAGCTGGCCTGGAATTCCTGGATTTGGGGGATTTTTGGGGTGGTTTTTTGGTTTGTTTGTTTTTTTTTTTCCCCTGAGCGGTCAGTGAGGGAGAGCTGACTGGGTGTTTCTAACTCATTTCTAGCGTGGTTTTGACTGATGGGTTTGGGTTTTTTTGGGCGGGTTTTGTTTGGGTTTTTGGGTTTGTTTTGGGGGTTTTGTTGGTTGGTTTTTTTTCGGGTGGGTGGGAAGGGAAGAGAGAGGGGTTTGAAATAAAAGAATTGGAAGTTGTTGGGTGTTTGATGTGTGGTGGATCCCGAGGGTGTGACCCCCCCTCCCCACCCCCGGGGTCCCCTTTGGAGCATCCCAGTGCCCAGAACCACGGCAGGGAGCTCCGGGGGCTCTTCCTGGGGTGCTCCTGATGCCCAGAAACATGTTTGGGGGGAGCTCTGGGTGCTCCCAGCGCCCCCCAAAATTCAGAGGGAGCCGTGGGGTGGCCCCCCTGGGGTGTTCCTGGTGCCCAGAAAGATGCCAGTGCCCCAAAAGACATTGGGGTGCCCCCCTAACCCTCAGCCCCGTGTGCTCCTGGTGCCCAGAACCACATTAGTGTCCCCCTGGGTGCTCCCAGTGCCCCCCTAAAAAATCAGGGGGAGCCCCGAGTGCCCCCTCGGGGTGCTCCAGGTGCCCCAAAACACATCAGGGAGGGTCCCAGTGCCCAGAACCACGTTGGGGGGAGCTCTGGGTGCCCCCCCCCGAGTGCCCAGAAAGACGTCAGGATGCTCCCACGGTGTCCCAGTGCCCAAAAAGACATTGGGGGCAGCTCTGGGTGCCCCCAGCAACCCCTAAAAAATCAGGGGGAGCGCTGGGTGACCCCCCCGGGGTGCTCCCAGTGCTCCCAGTGCCAGCATCCCCGAGGGGTGGGATGAGGCCCCAAGGGCTGGAGACGCCCAGATTCACCCCGTGTCCCCCAAAATTCCCCCCCGCGCCCCTCCCCAGCCCCTTCCCCGGCTGCGGGAGCCACGTGCGGTGCTTCCCCCACCCCCAAATCCTCCTCCGAGGCGCTTTGAACGCCCCCGAGTTTGGCAGATCAAAGGCGGCGCAGCGACAGAATGGGGCTGGGGAGGGGCTCCCGGCCCCGGGGAGCCTTCATCCCTCCTCCTCCTCTTCCTTCTCCATCCCTGCGGCGGCCGGGAGGGTTTTGGGGTTCGTCCCTCTGCTCTTGGCACGGGGTGGGGGGGCTGCCCCTGTGTGTGTGTCCCCCCCTGCCCGCGGGGGCAGACCCCGGGTCGGGGCTCTGTGCGGGGACAAAGGGCCCTTTGACGGGGCCAGACGGACACTCCAGGCGGGATCCGACATCTGGAGCCTCCTCTTGGGTTTTTTTTCTCGGCTGGCGGGAGCCGAAATGCTGCGGGTCCCGTCCCTCTGCCCCCACGGGTGGGATGCTCCCATGGGTGGGATGCTCCGGTGGGAGAGAGGAGCGGGGAGGGTTTGGGGTTCTCCCAGCCCCGCGTGGGAGGAGCTGCGGGCACAGGGATGCTGCACCCCGGGATGTGCCCTGGGCGAGGAGGGTGCCCCCGAGGAGCCACGTGCCCGGGGGCAGGGCCGGGGCAACCCCCTCGCTGCCCCCCCCCCCCCCCCCCCCCCCCCCAAAAAAAAAACCCATAAAAAGCCGCTTTGTCCACCCGCCTCCGAGCGGCCCTGGAAGAGCCCCAACATGGCTGCGCCGCGCTGGAGCTTATTTTTAACATCTCA